GCGGCCAATGAATGTAACAAACCAAGAAAGTAAATTTCGGGGTTGCCCCCCAGATCCAAGCAGGCTGCTCAGCGTTGCTCGTGCCTTCGCCATCTCTCCCCAGGGGTCCTGCGTGAGGTCACCACGGACTTCACGGTGGACGCTCGCTCTCTCACCCAAACGGGGGGCACCCACATCCAAGTGCGGGTCATTAACCCTTCGGGGGCCAAGACGGACACCTACATCACCGACAACGGGGACGGCACCTACCGGGTCCAGTACACCCCCTTTGAGGATGGTAAGTCTCCCCTGAAGCCCCCCCCCCCCCCTCCCCCCCCCCCCCCCCCCCCACCTTTGATATGAGCCCTTCCCAGCTCCCTTGGATGCAAAAAGTACAATTCAGTAAAATCAAAGTAGCAACTGGGATTTTTCTCCTTGCAATGGTGGCCTGGAGGTGGAGCTTTCACCTCACAATCAGGAGGCTATGGGTTCGATCCTAGGTAGAGGCAGATATGATATGAGAATTTATCTGCTGAATATAACTCCGCACTGGTGACAGGAAGGCATCCAGCCAGTAAAACACTCAGTTCCATTCAGTTGCCCAAACTCCACCCCATAAGGGGTTATGGAGTCATTAAAAGATGATTCACTAGTCATAGTCCTTGAGTGGTGCAGTGGCTTAGAAGTGGAGTTCTCAACTCACAATCGGGAGGCTGTGAATTCGATCCTAGGTAGGGGAAGATATTTCTCTTTCCGCAGGATGAGAATTTATCTGCTGAATATAACTCCGTACTGGTGACAGGAAGGCATCCGGCCAGTAAAACACTCAGTTCCATTCAGTTGCCCAGACATAAGGGGTTATGGAGTCATTAAAAGATGATTTACTAGTCATAGTCCTTAAGTGGTGCAGTGGTTTAGAAGTGGAACTCTCACCTCACAATCGGGACGCTGTGAATTCGATCCTAGGTAGAGGCAGATATGAGATGAGAATTTATCTGCTGAACAAAGCTCCTCATTGGGGACAGGAAGGGCACCCGGCCAATAAATACTAAGCTCCATTCAGTTCCCCAGACTCCATCCCGCAAGGGATTATGGGGTCGTTAAAAGGAGGATGATGTTGGGAGCATTATAATAATGGAAGGGAGAACCTCTCTGCCTATCCAGGTAAGGGGGCGGCGATGTTTGCCCTGCACAGGGGATGAAGGCCCACGTGACCTCTTTGTCTCCCAGGTATGCATCTGGTGGAGGTGACATATGATGACGTCCCGGTGCCCAAGAGCCCCTTCCGGGTGGGTGTCACCGAAGGCTGCGACCCCAGCCGCGTCCGTGCCTATGGCCCTGGTCTCGAAGGGGGTTTGGTGAACAAGTCGAACCGCTTCACCGTGAAAACCAGGTGAGCCTCCCCTGCCCCCTCCCTGAGGCAAACCGAGTTGGGCAGTAAGGCTTCAGCTGTGAGAAGGGGACTCGGGTTCAAGGCAGGACAAGAGCTCTGTCTTTGCGGGTGGAAGTGGATCTACCCCGGTGTGTTTCACAGCTGGCCAGTTTGGGTGGACTTCAACTCCCAGAATTCCCCAGGTCTGACTGGGGAATGGAAGCCCATCCCTCTAAAAGTTTGGCCAA